TTATCATTTAGGTCATCCCAACTTTATGTACCTGGAAAAATTGTTTCCTCATTCATTTATTAATAAAAGTCCTACCTCTTTTAATTGCGAATTTTGTCAACTTGCCAAACACATTCGTACTTCATTTCCTCGATTATCATACAAACCCACTCGTCCCTTTTCTCTGATCCATAGTGACGTCTGGGGTCCTTCTCGTGAGAAAAATATTTCTGGGGCCCAATGGTTCGTGTCCTTTATTGATGATCACACACGGGTGACATGGATCTATCTTATGCGTGACAAATCCGAGGTAGGACCAATATTTCGTGCATTCTATCAAATGATACTCACTCAATTTGACACAAAAATTCAGGCTCTCAAAACAGATAATGCACGAGATTTTTTCAACACCTCATGGTGTCCTTCACCTTAGCACATGTGTTGATACTCCCCAACAAAATGGGGTTGCCGAGCGGAAAAATCGTCACTTGTTGGAGGTAGCCCGCTGTCTCATGTTTACCACATCAGTCCCTAAATGTTATTGGGGCGAGGCAACATTGACATCTGCCTACCTCATAAATCGGATGCCCTCTCGTATTCTGGGTTTCCGTAGTCCAATTGATGTCCTCCTTCCCTTCTTTCCAAATACCTGTACACTCTCTTTTGTTGTCCCTACCAAACTATTTGGTTGCTCCGTCTTTGTTCATATTCACAAACAACACCGCAGTAAATTAGACCCCAAATCCGTCAAATGCATATTCATAGGGTAATCGACCAACAAGAAAGGCTACAAGTGTTATTGTCCTTCAACTAAGAAGATCTATAATTCTATGGATGTCACCTTTTTCGAGCATCAATTATACTACCAAGGGTCTGTCATTCAGAAGGAGAGTGAACAACAGCCCTGTGTCCCTTTAACAACTGACACGGGCCCCTCACTGACTGTCAGACCTCCTCCATCTCCTATTCAACCTCCTCAGATTACACAACCCACACCTTCTCCTGTTCAACCTCCTCAGTCTACACAACCCACTCCTCAGGAACTTCGAGTCTATACAAGACGAAACAGAACTGCTGAAAGAATAGAGAACCTCACACCGCTTCCAGCTGCTGTCCAAGAGTCTAATCCAGCATCAAAATCCTCTGAAACTCACTCAGGTATGGAATCTATAGACACTAGTGATTATGAGCTTACCCCGCCTGTGAAAGATGATTCTGATGTTCCTTGCACTCAACATCCTATTGCCCGATTTGTTTCATATGAGAGGTTATCTCCTCCCTATCATGCATTTGTAACTGCTATTGACAACATAAAGGTTCCAAATTCTATTCAGGAAGCTCTCTCACACCCGGAATGGAGAAAAGCTGTGAATGAAGAAGTTGCTGCACTAGAAAAGAGTGGAACGTGGATTGTGTCTGATTTGCCCAAGAATACGAGACCAGTAGGATGCAGGTGGTTATTTACAATCAAATGTAAGGCAGACGGAAACATAGATCGGTTAAAAGTCCGACTGGTTGCAAAAGG